TAGAACCATGTTTTTTTGGTACTCCATCTCAGCTCTTTCTTCATGGGCTAATGATTCAGCACTAATATAAAACAACCACAGTCACTCAGGGCAAAGTGGAACAAGCCATGCAAGGACAGTCCCTGTTAGTTATCAAATTTAAGATGTATAGTTTTGTTTATAGTAATATAGAACATAAACACGTCAGAGATATGGATCCAGAAGCTGATGCTTGAATATGATGATTTTTTAACATTAAAATGATTGACATTCAGTCATCGAGTACATGTTCAAATTGAGAGATTTTGTTCTGAAACAGCATAAATTAAAACAAAATGGCCACCGGTCAGCCATTTTGAATACATGTACATCTGTATATCTATGACATGATGTATAATGAATATATAAAATTGGAACATAATCAGTGAAAGCATGTCATGAGATATGGATCTAGAACCGCATTAAATATAAAACAAAATGGTCGCCAGTCAGCCATTATGAATAAAATCTGAAAAACAAAATGATGTGCACCAGGACCAATAATGTCAAATGTATGTACCAAGTTTAAACAAAATCCATCTGTAAATGGCCAAGATCAGGTTCCGGAATGCCAGAAATGCTTAATTTCGATGATTTTTCAGTAAAAAAAATGGCCATGATTCGACCATCTTGAATCAGATTGTGAAGCAAATCAATGTGCATATATATAATATTATGTATGATGTATGAGTGAAGTTTGAATGTAATCGGTCAAGGCATGTCTAATATACAGGTCTGGATGCACGCACGCACTCATGGATGCACACACTACTGCATGGACACACGGACAGAGGTCAATCCATTAGTCCCCTTTTTCGGACTGGTCTGAACGGGGACTAATAATTGAATGACTTTATTGGTGTTTATTACCATGCAATTTTGTTAACAAAGTTGGAACTGACAGTAACTAGAAGATGGTCTACCAGGATACTGAGGAGCAATGGAAACCATATTCTGCTCAGCCAATTAGGTGTTATTATCATGCCCACTGTAATATTTGGAAACACATACACCCCTGTTCTCCATTGTCTGTGTGTCCCAAATATGATAATAGGCCAATTATTATGCAAATTGGGTAATTATTATGCACAGTTTTAAACCTAACACTAATCAAGTCTGTGCAATATCAATGAGCATCTATGTACCAAGTTTCATTGTAATCCAATGAGAGATATCAGTGGAACAGACATTCCAATAGATACATACATACACAAAGACTCGGTAACAGCAAAGACTCCCATTGAGTACTTCGCACACAGGAAATTAAAAAAAAATTCTTTAAAAAATAGTTGTGGTCAAATTAATCAAGCAGTCAAATTGATGGAGCTTTTAATGGTTTATTTGTAAAAAAAGAAAACTTACCTTCATTCATACATTTTCTGAGGGTTTTTTCCACTTGTCCAGCTCTCTCATCAATCTGAATCTGTTCTCGCTCCAAAGCTGCTAATTCTCCCAAAACATACTCGCTAGTATCCCTCAATTCCTGCAATACAAATATTTATCAATTTATACTACTAAAAGCTTATCTTCAATACTTGTCATCATTCTTCTTGAGGAGATTTGGTATTAATGAAGATAATACCTATCACAGTTTGAAGTTATTAACACAAATAAAATCACCATCGCTAATGCATTTTTCTAACATGGACTGGATACCAGTGAACAAACAGCAAATTTTTACACATGCTGCACATGTTTCCAGTAAAAAGTTAGTGTTCATAGTATGTACATTTTTACGATAGTGGTGTGAATCAGAATTTTACATGACTGATGAAAAAATAAAAATTAACACGTGTTTGAATTCACCTTGACAAAGTGAGGAATTACAACCATTTATATGCCAACATTATAGTCTCAGATCATAGATAGTAGATTAGGTTTAATGTCACAACATACAATGTAACTCATACTACATACATACACAGTAAACTGCTGTTTTATGCAAGCCTTCTGTGAACATGATTCTGATTGCGAGGGACACAATGCAGTTGTTAATAAAACGTATTCCAAGTATAAACTACATTTGGTTAAGAAGATGCTTTTGAACTGGTTGCAATTTGGTGTGGTTACTAGGGAATAGAACACATCCATTTTATACTCAATATACTAACAACAAGTCATTAACATGACATCCCTGTCATGTATAAGCGAACATGATATATGTGTGACATGATGTGAAATTTTGATTGCAATCAGGCAAGATGCATGTATGTCAGATATAGTTCCGGAAACAAAATGGTTGCCAGTTGGCCATTTTCACTTTGATCTGAAAAAGTAAAATCCAAGTTGAACAAAAATCTGTCTCTACAAAATTGAGACCCAGTTCCAGAATGGCAGAAATGGCTTGATTTTGATGCATATCAAGTTTAAAAATGGTCATTATTTGGCAAACTTGAATTGGATCATAAAACAAATGGACAAGTGTGTGTGAAGTTTGAACATGATTGGTCCAGGCATGTCTGAGATTTAAGTGAAGACAGTCTAATGCATGGACAAATGCATGGAGGTGAAACTTTGTTGAAGTTCTACAAAAATGTACAGTTGCTTATAAATAAAATTAGAGTTTTGTCCATACATGGCAGTGGTTCAAATTTTAATTTTTAGTGTTGTATTAATAAAATACGATACAGGGAGACCAGAGCTTCATGCTACTGATGTTCTTGTTATCTTTCTTTTCATATTTGTATTCCAAAAACTCCAAATGGTTTTGACACTGCATCTATTTACTGGATTAATATGAATTAAGAATTGTATGAAATGAATGGTTTAATAAAGATCTAGTCTTATTTTGTTATTGTCAAATGAACATGGTAAAACATAAAATGCTCAGTTCCTGCAAAGTTAAATCAAACAGCTGAATATTGCCTGAATATGAGCTGTATTAAAATTATGTTGTTTTAAATCGTCACGTATGATGTCACAAGATTTAGCAAGGAGCTCAGGGAAAGACCATCACTTTGATTCTGATCTAAACTAGTCGACCCCAGGTTAATCTGTTAATATGCCTTTTTTCAACAGTGGATTAAAATGTACTCTGGGTTGGACTGTTCATATTGAAGATGCACGAACACCATACAAGGTTTAATTGATATCTACTGCATGTTTTTAACACACAGAAGGAAGGATTCAGGAAGAAAGGACATTGCCCAAGTTATTAAATATGGCAATCTAAGACAGGCTTGGAATCTTATGGAATCCAGGCTATTTGTAATCAAACACAGTAGGGCTCAGGGTCTTTGGATGGCATTTTTCATTCACTGATGGAGTGACATATACTTACTTCTTCTTCCTCTACATTCTCAGCACTACACTGAGAATCCGATTCAGAGAGAGCATCTGATTCATCTGATTCTTCATTACTTTCTGTCCTATCTTGTTTCTCATCATCTTTTTCAATCTCTTGAGAAGTACAGAAGATAACATATCAATCACTACATGCTGAAACAACATAGCTACACCCTCACACATTTTAAAAGATAAATTGGTGCTGTGTTTTTGCCACAGTAACCTGTGATAAATCAATGTTTTAAATTTTGTGACATTACATGAATTAATACTACCGTTAGTAATTCATTCCAAGGTTTGTACTTGATAGTATTTAACATTCAAATTAAATTTAAACAAGCAGCCTATCGGCTGAGATAGCTCCGCTGTTAGCAATGCACATTTCAATTAAAGAACTGAAGACATCATTAGAAAATGAACAATATGTATAGTATCAAAGCAATTGG